TGAAAAAGATATAGGAATTTCACAACCTACGGCAGTCTGTCAACTCCTGTTACTACAAATATTAACTTTTTTTGGATTTTATTTTTACAATGTAATGATGAATAACGCATCTTCAAACTGGTGTCTCAACCTTACTGCCAACTTTTCTCGTTCAGGAAAAATTGCCACTTATTTCCCAACCAAGTATTCCAAAGTAAAACTTTGCTCAACTTTAACTGGCTGTACTGGAAAAAAATGTACTACGAGAGTTTGGCAAGGAACCTTAAAAGTTGGCGCATTTAATAAGGATTCCAAAATGGTATAACACTTAGAAGATTACTCGTTAACTTATGCACAATTTTTATTTGAAGAAAAAGTGATGAAAATTTTTCAAAATTTCCTAATTAAACAGCGATTATGAAAACGCACAAGGACCCTTAAGGATAACTGTTTGCACAACAGTGGGCGTCAAAATGCTGCTGATGATGATTTACCTTTACAGCAAATGCTCAAACTGTTTTCCTTCAGCCGCAATACACGCTCGACATCTTCTTAAAAAAGATCGGGTTATTAAACGAGCGAATCCACGGTTATTAACAAACTCAGCTGCTTCCAATAGTCTTTGACGTAGCTCAGCTACATTCTGAATCGGCTTGAAATACACTTTTTCTTTTACAGTTCCCCAGTAAAAAAAATCTAACGGATTCAAATCTGATGACCGGGCTGGCCACGGTATTGTACCAGACCGCCCTATCCATCTGCCTGGAAAGTTTTGATCGAGATACTCTCTCACTGAGAGTGCATAGTGCGCTGGGTAGCCATCATGCTGAAACCACATTTCCCTGTAAATACTCAGTGGCACGTCCTCCAATAAATTTTCTATATGATTTTGCAAAAAACGTAAATAAACCTCAGCAGTCAAAGTCTCTGGGAACTCAAACGGACCGATTATTTTACCATTTAAAATGCCTGTCCAATGGTTTATCTTGAAGCGATATTGAGATTTATCTTCTCTCATCAAATGTGGGTTTGCTACGAGCCACTCGTGTAAGTTATGCAGGTTCATGTACCCATCTTTCTTAAAGGTGGTCTCATCCGACCATAAAATTTTTTCAAAGAAGTGTGGAAATTTCCAGTGTCTTTCTAACATTGTGCGACAAAAAGCAACTCGGGGCTCATAATCCCGGGGCAGGAGAGGTTGAACACGCTGTATGTGGTATGGTTGAAGCACATCACTTACTTGCTACTGCACACTTTGATACCGATCAGTACTCCTTCGTTTACTGCGCATCTTTACATGTTTGTGCTTGTTGATTTCGTACTGTTACTAATTTGGAATTCGTGAACTGGACTGTTGATCGCTTGTGATTTGGATTTGGACTGTTTAATTGCTCTTCAAAACATTTGCTTTCCTTAGACTATCTTTGATAGTGTGATTGTGCAGTGCCGCTATGTCCGTGTACACCGTACAAGAATATGCTAACATGCACCTCATTTATGAGGAATGCAGATGCAACGCTAGTGTTGCAGCGAGACTTTACTGTGAGAGGTACCCGAATGCAGCTCGTCATCCAGATCATCGAGTGTTCACAAATGTGCACCGCTTACTGTTCTCAGAGGGCCAACTACCAAACCAATCACACGGTGAGGGAAGATCTTTCCTTCCTTACGAAGACGTGGTGCTAGGAGCTGTCGAAGAAGACCCGAGTACTTCAGTGCGTGCAATAGAACTAAAAACAGGTGTGACCAAAAGTACAGCCCATAGAATCTTGCAAAAAACGTGCTCCATCCATACCACGTACAGCGTGTTCAAGCTCTTCTGCCCCGGGATTATGAGCCCCGAGTTGCTTTTTGTCGCACAATGTTAGAAAGACACAGGGAAGATCCACGGTTCTTTGAAAAAATTTTATGGTCAGATGAGACCACATTTAAGAAAGATGGGTACATGAACCTGCATAACTTACACGAGTGGCACGTAGCAAACCCACATTTGATGAGAGAAGATAAATCTCAATATCGCTACAAGATAAAGTTTATTGGAGGACGTGCCACTGAGTATTTACAGGGACATGTGGTTTCAGCATGATGGCTGCCCAGCGCACTATGCACTCTCAGTGAGAGAGTATCTCGATCAAAACTTTCCAGGCAGATGGATAGGGCGGTCTGGTACAATACCGTGGCCAGCCCGGTCACCAGATTTGAATCCGTTACATTTTTTTTACTGGGGAACTGTAAAAGAAAAAGTGTATTTCAAGCCGATTCAAAATGTAGCTGAGCTACGGCAAAGACTATTGGAAGCAGCTGAGTTTGTTAATAACCGTGGATTCGCTCGTTTAATAACCCGATCTTTTTTAAGATGTCGAGCGTGTATTGCGGCTGAAGGAAAACAGTTTGAGCATTTGCTGTAAAGGTAAATCATCATCAGCAGCATTTTGACGCCCACTGTTGTGCAAACAGTTATCCTTAAGGGTTCTTGTGCGTTTTCATAATCGCTGTTTAATTAGGAAATTTTGAAAAATTTTCATCAGTTTTTCTTCAAATAAAAATTGTGCATAAGTTAACGAGTAATCTTCTAAGTGTTATACCATTTTGGAATCCTTATTAAATGCGCCAACTTTTAAGGTTACTTGCCAAACTCTCGTAGTACATTTTTTTCCACTACAACCAGTTAAAGTTGAGCAAAGTTTTACTTTGGAATACTTGGTTGGGAAATAAGTTGCAATTTTTCCTGAACGAGAAAAGTTGGCAGTAAGGTTGAGACACCAGTTTGAAGATGCGTTATTCATCATTACGTTGTAAAAATAAAATCCAAAAAAAGTTAATATTTGTAGTAACAGGAGTTGACAGACTGCCGTAGGGTGTGAAATTTCTATATTTTTTTCAAAGACCTATAATTTTCAAAACACATACATAAAATTTTTTTAAATATTTTTCTGATAGCTGTTATGACTTTGCCTATCACCCGGTTTCGGCTTGACGTCGACTTCTGGGACACCCTGTATATCCGATGCAAAATTGTAAGGTACCTACTGTAATATTCAATCTCTTGCAGACGATTCACTATCTTTTAGTTTGATCACAGCAATATGAATACTACTGAATTTCAGATGTCACAAGATTTGAAATTTATTGAAACTTATGCCGCCGACTATAACCTTCGGTTAAATCCGTCTAAATCTAAAGTATTAATTTTTTCTCCTAAAAGATTTAGACGTCATATTAAAACTAGCTTCATTATAAGATTAATCGGCAGTGTTATTCAAATTGAGTAATCAGCAAAAAACTGAGGGGTATTTTTGACCAGAGCCTTAGGTTCATACTTCACGCAAATAACATTTCTAAAAGATGTTTTGCTATCCTACGTCAATCACATAAAATAACAGGCAAATACTTGATTTTAATATTGAAAAAATCTATGTGAAACTATGATAATTTCAAAAATTACTTACACCGACTTCATTTTTAGATTCTGTATCTGTGAAACGTTTGCAAAAAATACAAAATTCTTTTTGTAGATTGATTTTCAGCGTACGAAAGTATGATAACATTAGCTATTTTCTTAAGTTCTAGATACATCATTTCCTCCATTTTTAAATGACAAGCTGATACTTTGTGGGTCTACCCACTCAAGAAGAATTCGTTTTGTGAATACGTTAACCATGCCTCTTCAGAACACATCATCTTCCAAAAATGCTTTACTTATAATGCCAGTATACTATACAATACTACTACCGCCTACGAAGCTTCTGAACCTCAACCATTTTAAAAAACAAGTTAAGAAAATCATTTTTGAACAGCAAATTTAAAGACAATCACACCTCATTTCTCAATTACGAACATGAACTAAGCAGGTCGTTTTAAAACAACTTTGATATCATACGTGGATTTATCTGATATTTATATGATACTAATATTTAGTAGGTACTGTACTATAATTTACACATTTTATGTATACTTTTATCTATTTATATATTTTTGATGTTGATTTATTTTTGGTAAGGGTTCGTCCTATATAAATAAACATGATTTATTATTATTATTTCGAATGTTGCCATCAAAAAATGGGAAAGTGCTGTGATGCCGTATTTTGGGGTAAGAGAACCGTATTTCTAGTTATTCTCGTCAAACTGACACCAAATTTGCCCCGGATATGGGTTTTGGTCAAGATTAGAGATACACAAGAATTTGTAAAAAGTTGGCTGATGTTAATGCTTCTTTTTGTGCAACATCACTCAAATCAAAAAATGTGTCCTGCATTACATTTAATTATTATAACAAACGTAGGTATTCATAAAATCACACAGATGCAAAGCATGTAATGTAATGTAAGACCGGAATCCAGAAACGCTCAACGTTTCGCAAGAAGTGCAGAAGTTGCAGATTTAAGGTAAAATAATTCGCCTACGCCACTGTTCATTTGACCGGCCGGCTTTCAACCGGCATATCATCTGGCAACAGCGCATGGCATCTGGCAGCGCATGTTTTCTAGCGCTTCCCCTCTACGTGACCTCTTGCTATCGATCCGACCAGCGCTGCCAGACTTTTAAAATGAATGGTAAATATCAAATCATAAGCCTATTCAAATGAAAACATACGAATAAATATATATAGAATATTCGTTTAGTTATCCAAATAAGCAGCTATAAATTGTAAGATATAAGTTCATATGGTTATCAAAGGAAAAGAAAAAGTACAAGGTTAATAGTTTAAGTACGAGTATTCACCTTTGGTTATTATATGTGGGTACTTTTGTACTCGGTATGTAATATTTAAACGTTTGTTTCGAGTTGAGCATACTGATGAAATTATAGTACTTCTGAGTACTGTAAAGTTATCATTTTCCAATTACGACTTGAAAATTTGGCAAAAAGAACCGACGTTGTTCTGAGAAAATTTTCATGCAAAACATGGCAACTGCGCCTAGTTATTTTGTATTTACACTGAGTTTTGTTGGCAGCGCTGGCATCCCCTCCTTTACGGCGTCATTTTCCAACAATTTCATTGGTTGATTAGTTGTCATCGGTCAATGAAATTTGTCATTGAGTCATTCTGTAACTTCCTTTTTACGCGTTTTCATCAAGACATCGAGGTTTTTCCATTTTCTAGTGCTTCTTGTTGAACCCAGCATTCTTGTTCTAAAAGAAAATTGTGAGCAGAAATGGCGAAGCGACGAGCAGATGAAGTCAACGAATTAGAAGAGAAAAGGGCGAAGGTAAACGAGGCCCAAAATGAGCATCATTCTGATGCGTCCATAGGTAAAATCTTTAAACCTATAATCTATTCAATGGCTGCCAGCTAAAAATGTTAAAGCAGGTGATGAGAGCGACGTAAGATCATCCACGAGGCCCAATTTTTCCTAACAGAGGAATTTATGTTGCAGTCGACATCGTAGTGTTGACGTTCAAATGTACGATAGTTCACAAACAAGGGGCGCCATTGATATTCCTAGGAATTTTCCACGCAAATCTGCACCATTTTATCACATTTCATACACGCGAGATTCTATCTCTGCAATTATATTATGAGGTTTGTGTATGATGGCTTCTGAGAAGCCTTTACAAGCAGTCATTTTGTCTCCTGTGAAGGATGACGTAGAGGTGTAAACATCAAAAAAGTATGTTAGAGAAGAATGATCTACCATTTGAATAGATATCCTCAAACATGCAGGTGTGTAGTTAGTTTTTTTGATTATTTTTTATATATAAGCTGTTGTTGCAGCTACAATAATTTACATTTATGTGGTATCAATAGATGAAGCCTATGTTTAATTGAAATTTCTTAATTAGGTATACTGACTATTTCATTTTTGCTAAGGAAACAGTGTTATGCGAAAATAAATATGATTTCATCAATAATTATTTGATCTTCATGCATAACGATGTCTTTTAAATTTTGCATATGAAATAAAACAACACGGTAAGTAGTTTTAAATGACTTTATTGTTTTTCGAAGTATTCTCCACGAAGATTAATACACATCTGCATGCGCTCGATCCAATTTTCGAAGCACTTATTCCACTTGTTTGCTGGCAGATCCAAAACGGCATATTTGAATGCGTCAACTGCTTCTTCTGGTGACTGGAACCTTTGACCAAGTCTGTTTTTAATTTTTGGGAAAGTAAAGAAATCGTTAGGACTTAGATCGGGACTATATGGAGGATGGTCCAATAATTCCACATTTTCTTCCGTTAAATACTACCTTGTTTTTTGGGCTGTGTGCAAGCTTGCATTGTCTTGGTGGAGGATGATTCTTCTTTCGGGGTTGATTTTTCAAAGCTCGGTGATGACTTCTGGCAAACAAATGGTGGTATACCAATCCGCAGTAACAGTTCTTTGCTCATTAAGAGGAATTGCTGCAATATGACCCGCTTTGGACATAAATGTCGCGACCATCTTTTTCGAAACACGTCGAGAACAGATGACTTTTGTTGGCTTTTCTTTACCTTGGACACCAAACATCCTGGTTCATAACACCACTAGCAATGCTGTACACATTTTTTGAGTTTCTGGAATTTAAACGGTCAAGCGTTTTTTGACACCAATTCCCTGGCTGCTTTCTGCTCTTTAGTCAACAGGTGCGGTATCCAACGAAAAACTAATTTTCTTGCTCCTAATTCTTCATGTAAAATTTTTTGCATTGAGTCTTTGAGATCTTCAAGGACGCCTTAATCTCGAGATATGTCACATGTCTGTCTTCAATGATAAGTTTGCGCACAGCATCGATGTTTTCCTGGGTGACTGCCGTTTTTGGTGCACCCACCCTGGGATCGTCGCTAAGACTCACCCGTCCACGTTTGAATTCTCCAAACCAACGGGAAATTGTCAACTGATGTGGCGATTGTCTCTTAAAGTTGTAATAAATTATCGCACGAAAATGTTCTCGGTTGAGTTCCATTTTTCTAATGACTTGGTGAAACTTAAAAATTCACTAGTGAGAACACTGCACGTATTGTTGTGAAACTTTGAATTTAAGTACTGACGTTCGATCCGAGCGGCCTACTATGTTTCTATATGCAAAACTTAAAAGACATCCCTCGTATCAAAAACATCAATTCAAGGCATCTCAGATACCTGTATGGAAAATAACAATCAGAATTATTGTATGGACATAAAAGTAATTTTTTTTTTTACTTTTTTGCTAAGGTGCAATGTGTCTGGTCTTACTATTTTTGTTTTACTAGTTCATAGCTATCAATAGCAAACAAAAACAAACATTTTTCCAAGTGATGTGGTTCATATAAAGTTATTTTACAAGTGCTATAGAATATTTTTTGAATGGAACATACTGTATATTTTTAGCGAGGATGAAAGTTTATTTTTTTTCTGATTTTGAATATATATAGTTTAATATGCTTATTTTTATTGCTTCAGTCAAAAAATTGAATCTTTCGTGTCATTTAATCACATCTATCAAGCCCTATTCCACACTGCTTAGGCAGCTAGATGCAAACTGGTTTGAACTTAGATTCACACGGATAAGTGGCACATAGAATTCAAGTTTTTGACCAAAGTAATGAAAATAAGTATGATAAATCCATATATTTGGATTAAAAAAGCTGCCACCATTTTAACTAAAATTATACAGGGTTTTCCATTTGAAAAAAAACCTATTCAATAGCACTTTTCTGAGACATGATATATAAATATATTTCCTGAAAAACTTTATACCAGACCCTAAAACGTTCTTATAAAACACTTTTTTGTAAATGGTCTTTCAAAAAAGTTAAAGGGAGGTGACTTTATAGCAGGACATTGTCTACATATTTTTATATATGTAGGATAAGTTAACTGTACCCTAGGGTAACAAGAATCAACTTACATAGACTTTTTCAACAATGAAGGCTTATTAATTAGGAACTTATAATCAATTAGAGAACAAAAAGTTACAAACATTTCAATTACTTTTTTCATTTATAATAATAATAATATCCTTTATTGCCAGCAAAATTTTAAAAGAAAAACATAAGCAATGACAAAGATAAGCAAAAATGTAGTACAATAAATACCATTACTGCATTTGTCCTGTAGGGTAGGGTTCTAGGGTTATGTATGCATATATGTAATTTTGTCATAAACTATCTGAGCGTGTAGACATTACAATACACTTTTAGAAGAGTCATATGAACTTTTTTTGTTCACTGGATAGATAGTACTCGGAAATTTAAAAAAAGTATGTATTTTACTAAAACCCCCACAATTTTTTTAACAAAATCGAGAATTACGTAGTTCACGATAAGAATTAGTTGTTCCAAAGAATTAAGTTGTGTTACTTTTGTAAATAATTTTCTGCTATTGTATGCCATAGCTAAAAGGTATAAAATCACCTTTTTCATCACAGAATCATTCATGATGTTTTTGAAGTAATTTAAATAATTACAAATAAATGATCTAAATGAGCATTTTATCACCTATCAATCTCCATATGAAAACAGAATTCTACCATATTGGTGTAACATGATACTTTTGTAGTGGTGAATCTCATTTGCTGGTTGTTGATTAGCAACCATCCTGGATAACTTTCATAGATGATGCAGACTTCGTAAATGCTTGGAAGCTATATCATAGCCAACCCTACCAGAAGAGTAGTAACAATAAAATGTAAGCATTATATATCATCCACATGAGAAATGCCAGCCTCATATACACTGTCAAAAATGACCTCTAGTTAAATGGTCAGGAATGGATGTTTGGTGTGTCGCAGTGACAACACCTGCTTAAGCATTTTTAGATATGATTCATATAAATACATATGAGGAAGCTCCTCAGAAAAGAACTATGATACTTGTTGTGCCTTTATATGAGAAACTACAAAACACCAGCCTTTCTATTGGCAATGCAACACTGAGAAGGAAAGGAGGAGAGCTGTACATATTGATAAAACTGAGATGAAAGGGATTAGATCTCTATTTTTACACATACATTGTCTGCAATATGGTTCAGAACTCTGATAATGTAATAGATACATCAGTACAATATGTTTTTTTTGTACAATTTTTTCACATTCAAGAACTATTTTAACAAAAAATATTTTAGGCCCAAATTAGAATATACTTTGATTAGGTAGCAGATAATTGAAAATAGTGAATAAAAGATACACTTGCAAGTTTACTGAATGTTCGCATTTGTTAATATCAGTTTTGCTATCAATAAGTTTTGAGAGTATAAAAATAATTTGTTTCTTCCAGTTAAAGAACATACATATTTTCTTACCTTTTTAAGCATGATGAAAAGAGAATCTAATCATAAATACTGCTTCTGCCTTTGATATATCTGATATAAAATGTTGTGAAACACAAATTTTACATACTATGGCAGTTCATTGTGTAGTATTTGTAAAACATTCACAATTTTTCGAATCCAGACATGTTTTGATTATGGGCCTTAAGCAATCGATTCAATTTCAGATCCAGAACTGCTGAAACTGCTGGGCGATGAACCTTTGAGCGACGAAGTCGAATACGGCCCTGAGGTTGATGCCGAACTAGCTTCGAAATGGACGGAGCACCTTATTGAAGGTCTGGAGAAAGATGAAAAAGAATCTGCTAAAAAGAGATACCCCATACCGAAGAACATTCCTGCCTTAAAACCACCAGCACTCAACCCAGAATTGCAGATGCTGGTAAACACTTCCGTCAAGAGGGAGGACAAGTTTTACGCGAACATCCAAGAGCACCTGGGCATCGGGATGGCTGGCGTAGCCACAGCCATTGACAAGCTGATTAAAGGGCCACCTTCACCTGAAGAGATCAAGGAAGATGTGATACCAGCTTTATTGGGTTCCAGTTCTATCTTATGCCTTGCGTTTCGGATGATGTCCAACAGCAGGAAATACCATATACACTCCAAGTTCAGCAGATTTGTCAAGAATGCTGTGAAGGATTGCAGGTCAGATGGTGAGTACTTGTTTGGAAAGAACATGGCTGAAGCATTGAAAAATATGAACGAAAAGAAAACTAACAAAAAGCCAGCGAAGGACGCACCAAAGGCTGAGGTGAAGGAAGAAGGAAACAAGGATGTTTCAGAGACTCATGAAGCTGAGAGCATGTTGGAGGAGGCAGCAAAGCAAGAAGTCAAGGAAGAACCTGCTGCGGATGAAACTCCAATGGAAAGCAGCGACATGGACAACGGCGTGAAAACTGAAGAGGAACATGCATCGACGACCGAAGATACATCAATGGCTACATCTCTTGGCGACGACATCAAAGACTCCGGATTTGGACCAGATGTTCATCAAGCTATCGCAGCCAGGTGGTGCAAATTCCTCCAGCATGGTGTTGAGAGAAAGGATATCGACGATTTCGCCAAGAAGTACCTAGTTCCGAAAAACATTCCATTCTTGAAACCGCCAAAGATGAATCCAGAGCTTAAAGATATCCTAAGAGAACAACCACGCAGCGAAGACCGATTCATGGTTTATATTCAGTTTAAGATGGGCGTGGGCCTATCTGCTATAGCCGAAGCGGTTGACAAGTTGCTTACTAATGAAGTAGGCCCTGATAATTTCAAGACTACCATGCTCCCATTAATCGCAGATGCTGGGAAAATCATGTGCGGAGCGTACAATGCAGTGTCGGTGAATAGAAAATACTACATTGAGAACAAGCTGGAAAAACCGTTCAAACAGGCGATCAAAGAGAGTATTCCAGACGAGTACATTTGTGGTGCAGCTATTGGTCTCACCATCAAGCAGATCCAGGATAATTTGCCTGGGGCACGCCCAAAAGAAAGATTCCATAGGGGACGTTCTGGTCCCCCCCGAGGACACTCGAGGGACAGGAACAGGTCAGGAGGTTGGAGAGGAGGAAGGGGCAACAGGCGCAACTTTTGGTAGAGAAAAGCCGTTTCAAAGCTAGCATTAGGACAACCCTCAATCTGCTACTTTCAGCGTTTTGAAAAGAGGTTCAACTTCATACACATACAGTTTTTTTCATTTTCCAGTGTGATGCAGTGTATTTAATTTCTTGATCATTTCTCGACAACTCCAAGTTGAAAATACATTATCTATAAATAAAGAATGTTTAAGCTAATTTGTACTTTTTGTTTAATATATAAAAAATCATAGTGCATTTCTTCACAGACAATTTCTCATTCAATTTTGGCGACTGCAGTGTTATAATTGTTTATATTTTGTTCTCACGTCGTATTATTTAGTTTTTGATATATGATGCAATGTTTTATGCCAATCTATAATAGTGACAAAAAGCAATGTTGGTTTGGATGGTGTATTTATTATTTTTACTATATTTTAAATTTGTAGCATCTGAAAAAAAAATAAACTTTCAAAATACTACATACTGTCTTATTCACTGTTTATTAGAAAAAGACAACCTTCAAAATCTGTTAAATCACTATGTTTTCTGGCTGGTAAATGAAACCACATATACAGGATTCACTTTTTACCAACGTTTCAATGGCCTTTTTCAAAGTACAAAGCAAAAATGACATTCAGTTGCGCAAATTTTAGTAAAAGTTCTACATCTGTGGTTTCATTCAACACCTAGAAAAACAGGATTTATCAGCATGAAAACGACAGGATAAATTTCAGATGTTACTTTAAAATCTAGAATTCACTTTTAGAAAAAAATATTGTAGTTACCTAGGAAGCACAAGTCTTAAAATTTGAGAAAAACTTTTGTCACATACATAAAATGAAAAAAATCGACAAAATTACTGATATTTTGGGGTAATTTTGGGATACGACAGTTTTGCAATTTGGTGATTTCTGGTAATTATGAAGTGTTAAGTTTACATGATTCAAAGTAACGTTTCGTTTTTCCTGTATAAAGTAATCACAGAAAATATCCATTTAAAGTTAACAGGAATTACCGAAACATTTTTTAATAATAAATTTTTATCTTTGAGGTCAACAAAAATAGTTCATTACACACTTATTTCGTGAAGTGCTCGCCCAATGGTGGCCTATAGATTTTTTCCAATACTGACACTACAGCGCTTTTCCGAAAGGTCCTGCACTTATTCTTCAGTTATAGTAGTGGCTACCTAGAGCATAAGTTGACATTTTACCGATTTTTTTGACATTATATACGTATTTACGAAATACTCTGCCGGACGATGAATACTTTATTTTAACGTAAAGGAAACAGTTGAAAATTGTGAAATCTAGTTTTGAAGAGTACTTTATAACCTTAAAACATAAAGTCACCATCTTTCAAAATGGCAGACATTCGGAAGCTGGCATAGCTGAGCTTTTTTGTTTATTATAACATCAACCAATCATCAAAACGTTAAAGTACGTTATTTCAATCGTCTTTTTAAAGGGCCTATCTGAATGTACAATGAAATATGAGACATTCGTTTTCACAAAAATGACATTTTTAAGAATTTCTTAAATGCATTGTTTCATATTTTATTACATATTCGAATACATCTTTCCAAGAGAAGAACTGTTACCCTGCAAGTCCTAGGATTATAAAGTTCTCACAAGCAGCTTGAAAATGAAGGATGACACTCCATCCGTTTCATTAAAAAAATGTTCCAAAATGGCGCCTAGTCACCATCTTTAAATTTTCAACTGCCGCTTTTACGCTAAAATATAAAATTTCAACTCGCTAACGTGACCCGTTCAAACAATAAAGTGAAAAACACTGATCAGAAAATATTTTACATCATAATGACGACGTTCTAAAAGTCCGTTAAAATATTTGCTTGTCTGGTGTGAAAACTGGCAACCTCAAATTAATGAATGTAACAAGACAGCCCATTCGGTTTGGGCTGGATAGAGGCGGATCTGTCTAGGGGCGGGGGCGCAGCGGTGGTCACAGTATTCATGTTCTTGTGTCAATTGAGGAGCGGGAAGTGGGATACATCTAAGGGGAGGGATGGGGGCCTGTCTCCTGATGTAATTGACATCGTAGAGTAAAGATAAATTAAAACGTAAAAGTCTAATGCAAGCGGATAACCAAATGAAAATTGTATTTACCATTTTGGATTGGTATTTACCGATCCGTTCAAGCGAGTGTGGTTATCAGTTTGGTTATAAGATCCGTGACGTCATGAATCAGCTGTTATATGTCATAGTTATCACCGCAAAATTGTGGTATTTACTCAACTCAGGAGTAGTTTTATATTTCTGGTTATTATTTGACATGTGATAAGTTAGAATTTTGGCGGGTATTGGATATTTTTATTGTACTTCAGCTTCATTTTTGGGAAACTTGATAGAGGCTGACTTCAGTTTTAGCATAAGAGAGCACCTTATTAGTTATAATCATTACTGTTGTTGGGGACACTTTAAATCTAGTTCCTACGCTTAACAAAGTATCCTGTATAGCCATACACCACAAGAATATTAAAATATGGCCATATAAACTCACTGGATGATGTCCACCTGTATACGGTTTTGATAATATCTTTTTTCATCATTTCTGCTAAATCAATAAATATTTTCTTTGACATGCGGAAAAGTTTAGAGAATTGAAAGTTATCATAGCTACAAAACCATGGTTCCATCATTAAAAATTTTTTTCTGAAAAAAAACATTTCTCTCATGAATATTATGAAAGGTTTCTTATTTAAACTTTCCATACACCGTTTTAGACAAAAAAGCAGCGATTATTAAGTGATAATAAAAATAATCAGAGATTATTTACGCACTTTTCTAAAATAAACAACTTGCAACAAAACCGCGGTTAAAACCAACGCGTTCAAGCGATTCGTGTAACTGACGTCATCAACCTGTGTGTCATCTTGAACCATATTATAACCGCGGCACATAACACAGAAATTTTGGTTATTCGCTTGGATTTGATTAAAATCTGGCTTGATTCGTCCGGAGTCCTCTATGACACGATACAATTTCGAATGACATTATTGTTTACCTAGGTATTTTTTTCTTTAAATTTTTTACCTAGGGAGAGGATTGCTGCTTCTCAATAAGGCATTGCGGTCAATAATGACTTCTAGAGTTAGGAGTGAATAAATTATTTTAAAACTAGTGCCGTTGAGTGTGCGAAGGTCAACGCCAATCTGCTTATCCCAAATGACAGGTGTTTGATCGAAGTGCGGATAGGGACTTCATTGGGGGAAACCACGATTTATCGAAAAAAATCCTTGATCCAACTCGATTTCGGCAAATCATGATTTTTTTGTTTATATACCAAGTAAAGTGCCCTAGACGCTGAAAAACCATGTTCCGGGGCACACTCGCAAAAGCCGCTTTGTGGGCTGCTAGACTAGCATAATTCGACGAGATATATGCAAAATAATCCTGGACCTAAATCGCTTCTCGAAAATGATAAACGTGTTTTTGATGTGTTTAATATTAAAATTGGGGTAGGAGGCAGTTTTTTGGGGAGGTGAGAGGGGAGGTTCTGTAGGTCATGTAGCGCAAATTAGGAACTACACCACCTGAGGTTGACTATCTCTAGCAAATGTTTTTATGAGCATAGATGCATCTTGTGGTGTAGCTTATGACCAGTTTGGGCTCTCCTATTTATCAGAAATACTAAAATTTCACAGAAACACATTCGCTATAAATTCACTTTCAATTGACCATATTTGAGCCAACTTTAACGGTTGTTTACGCCATATGCATACATAAACGAATTCGCCAAGATCTTTAATAGCTATTTTCACTTTCATAGAATCCCACACACACATACTTGCAAGCAGTATATTTGATTGAACATTACCTTTAACAGAGAAAAACTTGTAAGATATCCAACAACAATTTACAGTTCATTTTCTACATAGCCTAATAGACTGGTATGGAGAAAAACTTTTGAAATTTCATAAGCACGTTCTACACGGCCTATGGTAAAAAATAGCCAAGCAGGGGTGAGTTTGTAAATCAGTTGGTAACGTTTAAACAGTAATGGAATGTCGATTGACAGATGAAATTTTATTTTGGAAAACTTTGGAACTTTATTTTTATAACGCCTTAATTATTACAGTCATGTAACGACACTCCATAACAGATAGTTTCTAACCACGTTGTCTGCGACCATTGAATGTATTATAAGAAACCGTATGGAAATGATGTAGCCCATTTATCGTGGAAAATATATATTCAGCCATTTTTGAGCACTTTTTCAAAGTAACCAAATATTGAACCATGATAATGACAAGTGCCTGCAAATAACGAACGTCAACCAAAAAAGTATTTTTATGACCACTAAAGTGAGCCGTCGTAATTAGGCAGTCATGATAGGTTGTTTATTTTTTTTATCTTAACGTGAAGCTAACCACAAAATTTTAAAACATTTTCAATTGTTTCAGAGAACTATTCGGTAATATCTGTGTCCAAACGACCGTACTAGAAAAGAATAATTTTAGAATCACGGAACCACAGAAGGACTAATGACCACAAAACCAGCGCAGAACTACAATGAAAGGCTAGTTTGCCACATTGCATATGTAACAAAAATCAACAATTCAATTTTTCTAGAACTATGCCTATTTCTCTCCTTTATTTTTATCTGTAACCTAAGCTTATCCAGTTGTACAAATTCCTCTTACAGCCTGAATAAGGAAATATAACATTACGGAATAAGCTCTCCCCTATTATCCGAAACTAACTAACGGGGCTTTCTTATTTCGATGACGGAAATGCATTCAGGATTGTCTCGCTGCTACACAAAATCGAAATAAAGACGATCATAAGGAAGCTGAAAAATGAGAGCACTAAAAACTCTGTAATAATGTTCTCCGTCTTTGCCCTATTTCACCTTCAATTTGTGCTTGTCCAATTTTTTTTTTTTTCAGTAATGTTCTCGAGCTACGATAACTTCGAATGCGGGTAGATGGATTTGCAAAGACCTCAACGATTTTCGTCTTACAATAGTAGTAACCTTTTGCTAAAAATATAAGTTAAAGAGGGATCACGAAGTATTAGTACTTGTTGGATGTGTCAACAAATCCCAGAGAGACGCCGTAGAAAGGCTGACGAACAAACGGAAATGAATGACATGGTTTTGCGTGAGGCGAAAAGACAACATTATGGAAACGCAAAATGTTCGGGATATCAATATTCCTTCGCCTATTGTCACAGAAAATTAAGTCTAACATTTCTTTCTTCGTATCATTATTAGGCCATAAAATGTGCTTACTAAAGTACTTAGCTGAATTCAAGGATGTTTTCGAAAATATACGGAAAAAATTTAATCAGTGCAATACACGGTCTGTAAATTGAGTGATGAGACTGACAACGTAGCGTTCGATTTGGCAACACTTGAGGCGCCGGGTTGGAGGGGAGGCAGGGAAACATGTGATCCGCCTTCAGTACATGTTTGAACTCGCTCGAGT